TCAATCGAACATTAGATGTTGAAAAGGATCCGTTTCGATCTTGTGATGAAGATGAAGAAATACTTGGTTCTGAAACACCATATATATGAGTGCAATAGGAGCTCTTATGTATCTTGCTAATTGCACCAGACCAGATATATCTTTCGCTACCAACTTATTAGCAAGACTAGTTGTAACTTGTGCATTTGCACAGAAAGCTATATGATAAAGAATAAAATAATAAAAAATTATAAACAATAGTAAAAATCATAACATAATCATCGAAATAAATGTTTTTTTTAAAAAATTAAATATTATTAAACACTTCTTTATGTGCAACATTCGTGGTATTTTAATCGTCAGAATCTCCATCACCACAAATCATTATCTTCAAACCCCTTCGGCTCGTAACTCTAGAAAGCGCCACGTACAATTGTTCATGGCTAAATACAGGGCTCTTCAGTAGTAAGCTGATGTGCGACAGAATTGTCCTTGACTCTTATTGATTGTCATAGCATAGGAAACCATGAGCAGAAACTGCCTGCACTGAAACTTGAAAGGTACCCTCAAATCGGATGGTATGATTTTGAGCATAGGAATAAGAACCTTATCACCAGCTTTGGCATCGGTTCATATTTTGCATTCGAATACATGGTTGTTAAGCTTAGTAATAACTAATCGAGTATATGTTGATCTGAAATTCGGAGAACAAAAACATATCAATCGAATTGTACACTAATCAAAGAAAATACAAATGATGGATAAGAATTTTATTGGCTGCCAATTGAAGTGCACCCTTTGTCGTTGGATGCGATTACCATTTGTCGTTGTACCGGTTATGCTGATATCTTCATAACTATCACTTGCAACCCCAAGTGGCCTGAAATCAGTCGATTCCTTTCTGAAAGGAACCTCAACTCTGAGGACCGTCTAGAAATAATTTGTCGTGTCTTTAAGGTGAAGTTTGAAGCACTGATGAAGGATGTTCGGACCCATATAGCACGGCCAAAGTTTCATCCACCACACATATATAGAACATTTAAGAAGGTGGTAGAAGCAGGTATTTGATGCATGAAACCCTACCACGTGCAACATTTTCGCCGTTTCTTCTTCACTTTTATTTGTTTTTTCTCTCATCTAACACAAACACTCGGATCGATTCCTATTTTGTTTAGTTGTCGTAGTCATGCTTTTTTAATTTATCAACGGGGAAACTATTGATCTAGATGTTAATTGTTCGTTTAAAGGTTTAATATATTTGTATGCTTTTTGTATTATTTTGTGGATAAAGTTTTCGGATCATTTTTGTTGTATAAATTTTTTATGACAAATAATTCTAGTCGGGAAACACCTTAAAATTTTCTATGGCATAAATACGACCCTCATTGATTTTAAACTTCTTCAAATTTTTCAGCAAAGCAACCCGGGCCTGAAGCGTGAATTCACTGACCCTACACGATAAAAAAATAATATTATAAAAAATTGATATTGAAATAGTATGTGTTAAAACTTAAAATGACTGAAAAAAATTTTATACCTTGACATCGTGAAATACGTACTCCAATCCACCATATTGATGTTTTTTCTTTTTATTTTCATTTTATCAATCTTGTTGAATAATGGCGAATCAACCTCAATATTATCAAACATAAAAGCCATTTGAAATGAGAATTTGGCTGATTTTGTTTTCCTATTGTGTAGTATTTTTTGCTGAATGTGATTTTGGTTCTTATTTTTTCAGTTATTTATAAAGTTTTAAAAAATGGTCATTGATTATATAATTTAATTGCCAAGTGATTGCTCAGTTTTAAGGAATAATTGATTGATTTTAATTTATTTTTTTTTACTGACTCTAATATTGTCCCGCCATTTTAATTGATGGATTGCATGATTCTCCATTTATATAATATTTAAAATTTAAGATAAATAATGAGTATATCATATTGTAGAAATTTTATAGTTTGTAAATATAAACGATATAAGTATAAACTATTTAACCTATATAAAAATCACTATAATGATAATTGTAGAACATAAAAATGATTATGACTAATTAATTAGATAAAAAATAATTTGGTTATGCCATAAAAAGTAATTAACATTTTTAATAAAAAAAAATATTAATGAGTTAAAAAATAATTATTATTTTAAATAAGTAGCTTAAAAAATCTAAATAATTTTTTTTATATGTATAAACTTTCTTATATCCTTTAGTTATTATTATTTATTATGTAATTATAAAATATAGAATTTAATTAATTAATGAAAAATATAACAACTTCTTTTTACAATTAGTTGAATAAAATGTGCTGATTTTATTTTTGCAATAAATTCTTTGTGAATAGTTATATATATAGAAATATAAATATAATCATAACGGGAATGACATTTATATAAAGTACATTAATTATTTTATTATTATTATTATTATTATTATTATTATTATTATTATTATTATTATTGTTATTATTATTATCATTACTACTACTATTTGAGGCTATGAATTTTATTTA